ATTAAAGGCGTGCGCCACCACCGCCCGGCCTTTCTTTTTTTTTTTTTATTACTTATTTTCACTTGGGAGGCAGAGGCAGGTGGATATGTGAGTTTGAGGCCAGCCTGGTCTACAGAGTGAGTTCCAGGACAGCCAGGGATATACAGAGAAACCCTGTCTTGAAAAACAACAACAAAAAAATTACTTATTTTATGTATGTGAGTACACTTTTGCTGTCCTCAGACACACCAGAAGAGGGCATCGAATCCTATTACAGATGGTTGTGAGCCATCATGTGGTTGCTGGGAATTGAACTCAGGACCTCTGGAAGAGCAGTCAGTTTTCTTAACTGCTGAGCCATCTCTCCAGCCCAAGACCCTGTCTTAAAACAACAACAAAAGGAAAGAAAAAAATCAGGGTTGTAATAGAAATTCTGAGGGTAAAAGAAGAGAGTTGGGTAGAGAAGTAAACATGTTGGGTTTAGTGGCAGAGGCTTGGAATCCCAGCACTTGGGTGGCAGAGGCAGGATAGCTGATGAGTTTGAGGTCTGCCTGGACTCCATAGGTAAATTGTAAACCAGTCATTGTTACATTGAAAGACCTTGTTACTAATGGTTGGGCTTGGGTACTTCCAGGTTCTTGGCAACTTGTCCAAATAATTGAAAAATAAGGCCTCACACAATTTTTAAAAGTAGTAAGGTTGCTTCATTCACAGCAAAGCAGTAGTGCTGTTGTTTAGAAAAGAATATGCTGTCAAGATGGATGATGGGCTAGAGTTGAGGTACGTAAGGACCAGATTACTGTTTGGGGCTCCCTTTAATGGAGTTCAAGAGGAGGAGTTAGTTACCAACTAGCAAAGTTTGGGTGGCTCTGTTTTGATTGACTTGCTCATAGAATCATATCCCTCTCCAAAATGCATCTGACTTTATCATGTACATACTCAGTTATGCATAGGCTGCCTTGTGGTCAGTAGGGAAAATCCCCAAAAGTCCGCCTAAGAAGTGTACCTTATTGCACATGCTCCTGAAAACAGTTCAGGCCAGATCAGCCAGTATATCCTAACTTCTGCCCCATATTTGTGTGTGATGTACGTTATGCCACATATTAGTGTGTGGAGGTCAGAAACAGCCACCCAGAGTCATGTCCCAGGAATCAAACTGAGGTCTTCAGCTTGGCAATAATCGTATTTGTCAGCTCCTCAAAGCCGGCAGGTCCAGGTGAGAGGAGAGAGAGGTCCTGGGCAGGCCGGGTCTCTTCAGAGCTGAGTGGGATGGTGAGTGTTGGCTGGGGGTCTTGTTGAGGCAGGAACTCAACTTTAATGTAACAACCTCTTGTTTATATAAACTCAGAGCATAGGGAGGAGAGGTTTTGGAGGGGGTGAGATGACATAGGGGGCAGGGAAGGGTGACGGAGGGTACGGGGTGACTGACAGGGCCAGGGGCAAAGCTCTACATCAGCAACAGCTGAGCAGAGGCAGGGCTAAACAGGTTCTGTTGAGTCACTCTGGTACGGAAGTGACTAAGACAGGTATCAAAACTCGAGCCAGCCTTAGACTCTCCCACAAGGCTGCAGAAACTAGAGCCAGGCTTGGATTTGTCCACAAGGCCCAAACCAGGGCCGAAATGGGGCCCAGCACATATTTACTCTATTGGCTGTCCCCCCAGCCCTTGCCTGTTCTTTATATCCATCATGACAATATATTGGGAATATATTTGAAAAGAAAAGAAGTTTAGTTGTTAGGTTAGGAGAAACTTATTTATGCAGTGAAGTCTGAGGTTGTTAGGTCCATTTTTCAGAGATATATTCAGATAAAGGAGATAGGCAGCTCAAGTGCATCATCACAAGGGGGTGTGCAGTACCCAATCCAAGCAGAGGTCCAGGTTGCTTATCTATTCCTGTGTTTGCTTGCCTCAACTATAACTCTATCTCAAAACAAAACAAAAAATTCCCCAAAACAGAAAAACTAAAACTACTTGGAAAGAAGATGGCTAGGAACTTCCAGAATTGGAGAACAA